CTATTCATCCAGCCTGCTTCATTCATATACACGGTGAGTCGGTGCAATTATCCCAATCTGTATAAGTTACTTAGGGGTAGCCTTGTGGTATTAATCCAGAGACCCAGGTTCGAATATGCCTGTGGCAGATGGTCGAATTTGAATTCAATAAAAATCTGGAATTAAGAGCCTAATAATGACCATGAAATTGTGGCTGGTTGTCAGAAGAAAGTATCTGGTTCACTAATGTCCGAAAGAGAAGGAACTTGTCATCCTCACCCAGTCGGGTCTACCTGTGACTCCAAATGAGGACTGAAGGAAACCCTCACCTTGTCATGTTGCTAAGTGCTGACGATATAATGAGCAGGAGGAACTGAGTTATGAGGAGGACAGAGAAAAGGCTGCAAAGGGGGTTAAGAGAGTCGGCCAAATTTCATCAGATAGAGTATAATGTGGGATAAAGTGAGCATGCGCACTCAGACAGGAAGCAGAGGGAAGCAGATGCTATTTACATAGAGAAAGACAGAGCACTGCTGAACAGAGGGATCTGGCTGCCCTTGTACATGAATCAAAAATAGTCAGCACGTATAGCAAATAATCAATAGAAATGGAATGTTGACCTTTATTGTCAAGGAGATGGAATATAATAGTAGGGAAGTCATGGTACATTTGTTCAGGCCATTGGTATGACCACAGCTAGAATACTTTGTGATAGCAAGAACTGACGATGCTGGAGTCAGAGATAACACAGTGTGGAGCTGAAGGCCAGGCAGCATCAGAGGAACAGGAAAGCTGACGTTTCGGGTCGGGACCCTTCTTCAAAAATGTGGAGGGTGAAGAGAGCTGGGAAATAAATAGAGAGAGAAGGGGTGGGGTGGGGGAAGGTAGGTGGGATGGTGATATGGGGGTGCAAGTAGGGAGTGGTGGGGATTGGTCAGTGAGGTGGGAGGAGCAGATTGGTGGGAGAGGAGATGGACAGGTTGTGTCAGGTCAAGGAGGCGAGGATGAGAGGGTGGGTTGGATATGGGATGAGGCCGGAGCTGGGGAGATTTTAAAATTGGTGAATTCTATGTTTAGGCCATTGGGCTGTAGGCTCTCGAGGCGGAATATGAGGTGCTGCTCCTCCAGTTTGCGGGTGGTGTCATTGTGGCCCTGGAGGAGGCCCAGGATGGGCATGTCATCACGGAGTGGGAGGAGGAGTTAAAATGGTTGGCAACCGGAAGGTGTTGTCATTTGTCGCATACAGAGCACAGATGATTTATGAAATGGTCTCCGAGTCCATGCTTGGTCTCACCGATGTAGAGGAGGCCTCATCGGGAGCAGTGGATACAGTAGACCAAGTTAGGGATATACAAGTGAACCCCTGTCGGATATGAAAGGTTTGCTTTGGGCATTGGATGGAGGTGAGGAGGGAGGTGTAGGAACAGGTGTAGCACTTTGTGTGGTTGCAGGGAAAGGTGCCGGGGGCCGTGGGGTCAGTGAGGAGTGTGGGGAGGACAAAGGAGTCGCAGAATGAGCGGTCCCTACGAAAGGCAGATGGAGTGGGGAGGGAAATACTTTGTGCTGTTTTGTATATCTTACTTCAGGAGGGGCATATCTGCACTGGGGGCAGTTCAGAAAATGTTTCAGGGAAGAACGGGTTTGTCTTAAGTGAAAGGATTGGGCAGGTTTGCTTTATAATTAGAAGAGTGAGATGTGATTGTATTGAAGCCCATAAAAATATGAGGGGTTGGGTAGGGTGTGGGGCTAATCTAGAACCAGGGAACACAGAGATTTCCCATTTAATATACAGATAATAAAAGAATTTCAGAGAGTTGTGAGTGCTCAGAATTCTACTCTCCAATGAACATTTAGGGCAACATTGAACATAATCAAGCCTGAGTTAGATAGATCTCTGGTTGACAAGGGGTTTGAGGCTGTGGGATCTGATAGAAAAGTGGAGTTAAAGGCGGGGCAGGTGGTTGGGGAAGTGTGGTGATGGCCTTGTGGAATTATTGCTAGACCATAAATCCAGGTCTCAGGTAATGTTCTGGAGGCCCAGGTTTGAATTCCACTGCAGCAGATACTGGAGTTTCAATTCAGTAATACTCTGGAATTAAGAGTCTAATGATGATCGTGAGTCCATCATAGATTGTCAGAAAAACCTAACTGGTTCACCTTTCAGGGAATGAAATCTGCCATCCTTACCTAGTCTGGCCTACTAGTGACTCCAGACCCACAGCAAAGTGGTTGACCCTCTGGGCAATTAGGGGTGGGCAATAAATGCTGGCCTTTTCAGAGATGTTCTTGTCCTGTGAATGAGTGAAAAACGTCAGCATCTTTTTGACTATCAGAACAAGCTCAAGGGGCCTGCTCCTACTCCTCATTCCTACAATATTTCATTAATATTTTTGCACAGTCTGAGTTGAGATATTGTGTGAAGCTGGTTCCAATTCTATCCATGTCAAGTGGATTGCTGTGTGTCACACTCTGTGTATTTTTAAATGATTGGCCACCTTGTCAGGGGAGGCTCAAGTTGTTCAACTGAATGGGATAAGACTCTCCCACCTGGGAGTGAGAAAGTCTTTGGTTCAAATCCCAACCCTTTGGATTCCTAGTCTGCCAGCTGCACATTTATTGACAATAACTGTCCCCTCACATATAGAACTGGATGCTGGCCCAGTAATTAGCAGAGCTGATCAATGGGCAATTGGACATCTTTCTCAGTGGTGGGAACGGTGTGTGAGTCACCCTAAAATACTCTCCCTCTCTCAATTAAATTTTAAAAAATGGAAACTTACAAGGGAATCAATGAATATGCAGATAAGTCAGGAGTTTAGGAATGAAGTTCAAGAACAGACATAGTCATAGAAGCATAAAGTCATACAGCACAGAAACAGACCCTTTGGTCCAACCAGTCAGTGCCAAA